GAAGTAAATAAAAAGAGATTAAAGAATTGGAATTGTTAACAACACGTTTGTTGAACACAACAAAAACTTGTATATACACTGAAAAAGAAATCTTAATTTCAAAGAAATATTTCTTTGCTTGTATTCAAAAAAATGATTTCTTTGGATCAATGAAAATTTCTTTGATTTTAAGATATTTTTTTTCAGTGTATGAGCCATTTTTATAACATTCCGCTGCAAAATTTACCAATATATGAATTGATTACGGTTCTCTGATCGTGAGCAATAAAATCGAAGACACGAAATCAACCGAGACATCTTAATAATTTCATTTGGAGATGTTGTGCTGACGCGGGGATAGTTTTCAAGGATCAGAAATAAAGCAAAATCAGCAACAAATTAGCACAAAAAGAATATGTGTAATTTTTTAATTTGTTTAAATTTTTTTAAATAGCTGTGCTAACTTTAGCATAGCCGTTGTTTTCTCGGAATTTGCTGGAGCAACAAAATCAGGAATTGAGCAACAAATTAACAACAAAAAAGCACTAAATTTCTGTGTATGTTTTATTCGATTGCTGAAGTGGCTGTATCAGCTTAATAGACGTGGACAACCAAAATATTTTTTTCTCCAAAATGATTATACCAAATGTTGAGTGTTTCTGTACTGTATGTAGAGACACTCTGTATGTAGTTATTTGAATCATTTTTTATGATTTCAACCATTTTTATGATAATAATAGTTATAATTATAATCATTTTCAGTTACTTATTATGTATATTAGTTGATAAAACTATGCATATAGTTATTATTACTAATACTATAGTAATAATATCATAATTATATTATGCAATTATTATTATTATACTATGTAATTATTGTTAGAAATACGTTTGTTACAAATATGTTTACCAAACAGTTTTTTCTCAATATATAGCTATAACTTAATTTATACTTTTTTATAAATAATAATTAATTTAATTGCTATATTTTGATAATTACTTTATGTCAAACTTATTTGTTAACACATGAGCTAACGAACATGAAGTGTTCAATGAACAATCATTTATTATTATTCATGATTGGAATACACGATATCTTTATTCTTGATTATCATATTTTACATTAGGAATTAAGCTAGAATTTTTATATAAATACGTCTTAATATTGATTCCTTTATTTTTTATTTCCAATATATTAACGTATTACAAATAATATAACGTATAATCAAGTACTTAGTATAATAAATAAAACAATTTAATAATATTACATATGTATAAACTTTTTATATTTAAAACAACAACACAAAAAATGTTTTAAAATTAGCAGAAAAGTAACTTTTTAAGTAACTATGTACTTTTCAGAATCGATCATGTGTAACTGTATATAATTACTTTTATAGAAGAACTTTCCAATTCTATTAATATCTAAATATCAAATATTTAAATCTTAACTTCATATTGTCCTATTAATTATTTTTAATGAAATAACGATTTCCTATACAGCTCTTACATACTTATATATCATAAAGTATTACAGAGTATCGATTTAAAATTCATATATTAATGTAACTTCTCGAAACGTTCAAAAAAAAAAATTCGTATTGATGATAACAATTGTAAAAGTTTTATATGTAGAACTAATGTAATTGAATAATATAGTTGAATAAACTATTTATTAAATATTTTACAGCTATTGTAACTACAAAATAATTTATTTAATTATGTACATACATCAGTGTACTCATTAATTATTTACAGAAGGGGATTTTCATTTAAGTTGATTTTTTTGAAAAATTTTTTTTATGAAAATAATGTTTTATTTTTTTAATTTTATTTTTTAGTAATAGTTAATTTTTTTATAAAGTCAATACATTTGAATTCTGAAATACTTCATTTTATTATATTAAAAAAAAATGTAATATTACAGTTTTCTTTTTTAATTAAATTCGATTGAAAATTACTCCACGCCTGCTATCTCTCTTCAAACATATCTCCGTTGGCAGAATATCTTCCCTGCAAGTCATCTGAAATACAAAATATTATAATTTGACAGCTTTTGATTTTATATACATATAGTTAATGAAGGGATAGATAAAAAAATAATTTAAAAAATGACGGTTTGTCACATAAAAGTCATCGACTTCGTTCTAAAAATTGGCTGAGTTTTTTACAATAAAAGTAAAAATATATAATGATTTATTTTTCTCTTTCGTCAAACCATAACTATTCAAATTTTTATATTTCGGATGATCTGGAAAGAAAATATCTTGCCAACCAGTGACGGAAATATTCCATGTTTAAAGAGAACTGGCAAGCGTAATTTTTTCGAATTTAATTTTAAAAAACTGTAATTATAAACAATACAAAAAGATAAATATTGTAGGCTAATGAGAGTCAACAACGCAATAATTGCGCCGTTTATCGTTGCTGACTCTAATTAGCCTATATTTATCTTTTTGTATTGTTTAAAATTTGAGAGTCCTATACAATATAATTGTTACTGTAATTATACATTTAAACACAGTAAAACAATATTCCAGAACAATATTCCAAATGTATGGACTTTATACTTTTGCCAAAAAAAAATTTCCCAAAAATTTAATTTATGTTTTTACCCAAAAAATAAAAATTTCTCCTTAATTCTTTATATAAAACTCGTATAGTTGTCACACTGAGAAAAATGTCCTGATTAAACCAACAAAATAATCCAGCAATAATGGCGTTTTAGTGAATCAAATATAGAATTTCTGGTTTAATAATCAAAAATTTTGTCTCTTTCAGTCTCATCAAAATATCATTCTTGTTAACACATTTTGTTCAGCTATTTATAATTACCATGATCATCACTGTGTTTTTCTCTGAGTGGATGCAACGCTAATACGATAAAGAATAATTTTGATGCGCTTCTTAACAAAAGATGAGAATTATTTATTTATTTTCCAAATGATAGAAACGTCACACATGTTTAACATGATCACTTTAACGTCGATCCCTTCAACCTAAATAACACGTTCAGCGTTTCATTAATGGAACGCTTAATTAGTGTTCGAGGAGGAAAAATATTTTCAAGCAAGTTGCGACGAGTTTCATCCGTCTATCTTTATTAAGTTTTTCGCATTGCGCTCTTAATAGAATCGCCATCGTTTAATTCTTTCCGTTAGATACGGACTTGTCGATCGCATCGCTGATAAAATTTAATCAAATATTAAACGCCAGTATCTCGCACCGAATTGGCTTGAAGTTACCGAATCGCCGATAAATTAGCATCATTGATCACATCCTACGATATTATTAAAGATTGCTGCGCTATTCAATAGCTTTATGTCCAACTTCCGCGGTGAAAATCGAAATATCTCCACGAAACGAATCTATTTTCAAATGTGATTGACAGCGCGGTGTTCCTGACGAGCCTTAATATACATGGACTCGTCACGTATTATAGGAAATAGAATTTCCTGAATTAGATCCCCGATCTGTACAATGAAAGGCAATTTAGCGTTTTAAAGATAAGTTGGTCTATAGCACCGGTCATCTATTCCGAGAATGGCGATCGGATATTAGTATTATATATAAAATGGTTAAGTTAGTTTTAAAATAGAGAAGAGACTACGCTATATCATTGTTTCGCTTTTAAAATACATTGATAAATTAATGGACAGACAGATAAATATCATTTTATTAAGTACTACATCATCTTTAAGTAAAAGTGTTATTCTCCATTTGTACAGTTAATAAATTTTTTTTATTAGCGAAGTGTTTTCTAACACGCATAAATATATAAAGAAAATTTATGATTATTTGAAATAGAATGTGTCAAAAACCATTTTGATTTTTATCTTAAATCATTTGCACAAATTTTATTAGTCATTCCATGTAGCGCGTCTATGTATCATATATACTGAATTAATAATTCAATTATTATTAATTCAGTTTTATCGTGAATTATGTATTTCAATTTAAGGATATGTTACATATTTTCAAAATAATTAAATTTAAGGATATGTTACATATTTTCAAAATAATTAAAAATTTATGAAAAAATGACAGATTATTTAAAAGAAGATAGATTGCATTTAAAAGAAATACAAAAAATTTAATGATGATTTAGAATTTTGATCTAAAATTATATATATATTTCAATAAGAAGTACTTTTTATGTGCGCTTTAATGGAAATGTATAATCGAAATATATTACAAGATATGATAAAAATCTCAATTTTTTTATATAAACATTCAAGGTGGTTATGTGAAGCTTCATTGTGATTAGATATTTTGTAAATAAGTAAAATTTATTTATTTATATTTATTTATACAGAACAACTAATCTCGCATTATAATAAAACCTTCTATAAATTATTTTGAATAGTTAATAGTAGTTATGTAGAAAACAATTGAAATTTTTATTCTTATTTTTTAAATTTTAATATTATAATATATCAATAAAAAGTAATAAAACAAATAAGCTATAAAAATATTAGGTGTTGGAATTAATTCGTAGCGTTTTTTAATGAAAGAATGTTATTTATTTCACATGAGCATTAAAAAATACATTAATGAAAGTACTTCCCATCACTTGTAAAACGCTACGAATTAATTCCAACACCTAATATATTAAATTTTTTTTTATTTGTTTTGTTCAATAAAAATTAAATATTATAAACACAACTTTTATGTGATATTTATTTGAAATATAAATATTAACACATGTTTTTTTTTTATAAAAATGGATGTTATATTATATTGTCAAAGAACTTGAAATGATCATCCTTTGGTTTTTACATACAAAAATAGTTTTAATATAAATTTACTCAGAAATAACAAATTATTTCTCGAAATAAAGAGCTCATCATGTTGAATAACCATTCGCCACTAATCTGCTAATTGTCAGATTTAGTAAAAGTCGAAAGGTGATTTAGAATTTTCTTGACAATTTAGTATATCCTTAAGTACAACGCTGTTTTGATTATGTTTGCAAATTACTATTACGAATTTTCGAACATAAGAATGTTCCGTTTCCTCAGCGATCACCTGAAAATCCACTTGAAGACACACGACACCCAAAGGCCTTACCAATGCACGGCTTGCACGAGAGGCTACAGTTCAGCCGCTGCCTTGACATCGCACATGCAATCTCACAAGAAGCATCACCAGTCATCGTCCTCTCAATCAGCTGGCAAGGACGTCGATTACGGTCGGAGAAGCGTCTCCTCGCACAGCACGTCATCACCGCCGGTGCCGTCGTCGCCGTCGCCGTCGTTGAATCTCAGTCTGAATTCGAGGAATGTCCTGAAGACGTCGCAGGGTACTGGTAGTACTTCTACTACACCGATTCTCAACTCACCCCTGAAACTCGCTTGCATGTACTGCACCCGAGATTCGTTCAGCTGCATGCAGCAGCTGCAAATACACGTACGCACGATGCATCAGGCAATCCTTAGCGGCGCGGAGAGTTTAGCGCGACCATCATCGCCGAGCAGAACATCAAATGAGCAACAAGCAGTATTCTGCTCGCGCGACAAGCCTGATCGTAAGGACAGCTCAAAAGACCCACGCTCAGATCGAAAATACCCATCCGAGGAAAGAGCCGACAGGCCTGCAGGCGAACGAGACCACTACGAGAACGCGTTTACCTGCGACCAGTGTACTATGAAATTCTCCACTCTGGCCTGCTTGCGTGATCATTCGTTGTCGATACACCGGATGGACAGTGGTTTCAGCGCGACAATGGTGATATGTCCATTGTGTGGTATTCCGTGCACTTCAACAGCAGCCTATGCCGAGCACTATGTTCTTCAACACTGCGAAAATCGTCGCCCGCAGACAACCAGTATAGATTATAACGAGACGAAACTGAACGGCGTTTACAACAGTACCCCAGCGA